TTATAATAATTATAAAATTATAATAATTATAAAATTATAATAATTATAAAATTATAATAATTATAAAATTATAATAATTATTAAATTATAATAATTATAAAATTATATAATTATAAAATTATAATAATTATAAAATTATAATTATTATGAAATTGTAATAATTATTAAATTATAATAATTATTAAATTATAATAATTATTAAATTATAATAATTATTAAATTATAATAATTATTAAGTTATAATATTTATTAAATTATAATAATCAGCAAGCAGCAACAAGACAACCTGGATAAAGAACCTTGTGGGATTTTATGCGTCGCATTGGAAACGGAGAGCTGTTCCACTTTTAAAACAATTAAAAAAAAAAAAAATTTTACCATTTATTAGTTGAAGTCACACAGGCAAAATCGGATCAATTATTGAAGACATACAATATATGTGTAAAACTAAGATTATAGGATCCAAAAAATAAGGTTTTTAACATCACAAAAAAAGATAGTGAATTGCCATGCTGTGAGGACAAAGGTTGTTTTATCTTTAGAGTTAAAAGTAAAGAACAGGTCGGGTATTTAGCAAGAAAAACTGCTCCTTTTAAAAACTAATCGTTCATTCAAATAAAGAAAAATGTCCTTGAAAACAACTTAAACAAAGTCTTTGAAGTCTACTTAGTAACAAATACAGCAACAACGTCACTTACTGAATAGAGTCGCAGAATCTCAAGAGTCTGAATATTTAGAAGAATGATCCCAAAATACTAAACAAGAAATACAGCAAAACAATAAAACTATAACAAAATTAGAAACATCATGAAAGCTATTAACTAGCAAAGCAACCGTTTGTTGGCAATAGGATCAACAATCTGACACCTAAACAGAATGGCATACAGATCAACAATTAAAGAAACTGGTTAAATTAAAACAGAAATGAGGATAACCCTACATTAAGAATGCTGGTCAATTTACTATGATGGTAAACTTATTAGTCACCAATATTTTTTTTTACCAATATATTATCACTAATATATTCTTTAACACAATAGTGTCGAACAATATATTAGTGCTATAAAACATTTTTATTTTAAGTTTAATTTTCAATACTATAGTTTTGAAAGAAAAACAAGCAGAAGTCAAGTTTCAAGCACTAAATCTATCAGACAGATAAACAGACAACTTTTGTTTAAGGTGTAACAGCTACTATTAATAAATAAATATTATAGAAGAGTATAAAAAAGATGGTAGCTAACATTGCGAAAGTAAATATTGGAAAAAGGAATGTAGTGTATTGCAGTTACAAGTACGTTTTACTTAAAAGAAACTGTAAGATCAACAATTTATAGGTTTTCAGTTGAAATTTGTGTATTCATCTTTAACAGGTAGGCGGATCATTGGTTTACTGACCAAATGTACAATGCAGATGATTATCAAAAGCTTTATAACGGCTTGCACGGTAAAAAAAAAAGCTGTTAAACTCAGTAAAAATGTTTTGGAACTAGAAATCATCGAAACTGCAAGTTCCCAGATCAAACTATCCAGCAAACATTGCTTTAGTGGATTTTCAATGGACATATATAAGCATTTTTATCGAATCATTGGATATTTGCTCAACGGGTTCTTGGTGGACCATTAGTGGCAGCAAATACAAATGGCCAGCCAATAACTTTCCGACATGAAAATAGTGGCTAGTTATCGGCTATCTTTTTTTCGCAGCATCCACTAATTGTCCACTAAGTATCTGATGAGCAAAATTACAGTATAGTGGACCGCTCAAAATAACTCTATAGGCCCGCTGAATTTCCGTTATAGAATGTTTGTTGGGTAGTGAGCAGAGCATGCAATCAAGAAATTACAGAGTCTCTTTAACAACTTTAAAACAAAAGGCAACTTCCAGCTTTGGTTTATTTTTTTTAACAAAGCATCAGAATTGTATACAATTCTATAAACCAGCAAACATTGCTGTACTGGATTTGCAGCAAACCTTATCAGCATTTTTTAGCAGTTTATTGGTGTTTTGCTCATCGTTTACTTAGCGGACCATTTGCGGCAGCCGCTGTAAATGGTAAGCCAATAACTTTCCGACAATTTATTAGTGGCTAAAATAAACCAAAGGTGGAAGTTGGCTAACCATCGGCTAACCTTTTTCTGCGGCTGCCTCCAATTGTCGACTAAATTAAAAAAACTACAGCAGTCCGCTAAAAATGGATATAAAGGACCACTAAAAATCCGCAATAGAATATTTGCTGCCAATTAAGGTGATTACTACAGAACATTTTTTTGTTATATTCTGTAACTATTTGTATTTGAAGAGTTGTTATTCAGGTTAAAATTTTATATTTATTTTGTAGCTTTTTACTATAAAATAAACAAAAAGGTTTCAATATTAATAAAAACATAATATATTGTTAATACTAATATAATACTTTACACTTAATAAATTTTTTCATGAAAAATATTATGTAATAAATTCATTATTAGTTATATTTTAAAATGCATATAAATTAACCTTTAAATACGTGCAATAAGAATAAAGTTGACCCAGTATGAACCACTCGTCAGCGATATTATAACCAATATAGTTGCAATTTAATAAAAATGATTCTGTAATTTCGATGTTAATTAATGCACCCGTCAATAGAAAGAAACTTAGAGTTCCCATTTTATTTGACTTTAAAAATTGTTAAAAACGAATAAAAAACTATACTCAAATTATTTTAATTGTCAATTTAATTTTAAAATTTATTTGCAGCTTCTTTAACATTCTTCTAGCAAAAACTCTTTTTTATTTAATTTCAAAACTGTTTAAGTAGATATTTAGAAGTTTGATTTTTATAATAAAAAACTTGGTTCATTTAACGCCATTAGTTTTCATAATAAATGATGACTTAAACTTAATAATAACATGAAATAAAGAAGTTCCTAGTCTTTTTATTTATCAAAAAAGTTTAAATTTGAAATTAAAATACCAATTGTCATATTAGATTAGCAAATAAAGATTCCATTCAAATAGAAGATTTATTTTAAAAAAATTATATTAAAAGATGCCGTTGACATAACTTCATATTAAAAAATCTAATGTGTTTCTAGCAGCGCATATAGTAGTTGTCAGGGCATAATGCCATGCCTGGCAAAACGTAATGCGTTCATCAAAGAAATTTAAAAAGAAACAATGCTTTATTCCAAGAATACCATAGCTATAAATAAACACATGAAACAAGTATATTTTGATATAAAATCAATTCAGAAAAAATGTTAGTTTATCAAAATACATAAATATTTTGATAAACTAACATTGTTTCTAAATTGATTTTATTTACAAAAACATCGAACGTGGAAAATAAGATGAAAATGTTCCAAGGATAATAATCACATTATTTTAATCATATTAGTGTATTTATATAACAGAGCTTTTAATCAAAAAGTGATCTAAGAATTTAAATTTTAAAAACTATGTGAGTATATCAGCATTTTTTAAAACTAGGTATATTGTTCTGAATAACTTTTTTTAAGCACTGTAGTTAAGTATTGTTTCTCTGTTCTACAACTGAATTAGGAGGATGTTTTAAATCATCATACGACCGTAAACGTTCAAATAACAATAGCGAACGTTTGCTGGAAACGTTACTTTGATAGCTCTTAAACGTCCACCTTAAAGGTGTTATTACGAACACGGGCGTTTATCTAACTTTTTTTTTTTCTTTTGAAGTATTGATTTAAACATACTGTTTGTTAAAACCTACGTTTGATAGTATTTGGCATAAATAACAATTTACATCAATTTAAACTAAATCTTTACAAAACAACATCAACAGCATAAAACAACAACATAAAACAGCATAAAACAACAACATAAAAAATAAATACATTTTATTCCAAGCAAAAAAAACATCAAATTCCACTAAAAACATAAAAAACATGGGCGTCGTATGTAAAACACAAACTCTTACCACACTTCATAATAAATAAAAACATTTCCTATTTAAAAACAAATGCTTTTTGTGGATTAGATAAACAAATATTTTTATTTATGAATTATCTATACGCAAAAAATGACATAAGTTCGCAATAATGTATTTTAGGGACAGAATAATTAACTTTTTTTTATAACAGGTCCCTATTTTGAGAAAAATAATTCACAAGTGTCATTTTCGGTCTTCAAAGTAATGGAGTTGTATAAAAAGTTTTTCTCTTTTTTTAATTTAAGAACACTGTTAAAATAAAAAGTTAATTAAGCTGTTATCTTTCGTTATAATAATACTTTGAAACTTTAAGGAGTTATTTTTTCATTAATTAACAATATTTAAATATCTTGCCACCTACCAATTAAAAAAAAAATCTTTTGATCTGGCACATAACATATAACATAACATATGCTAGCCAGTACTGTCATAACCTTCTCAAAATGTCGCTTCAACACGTCTTTGTTTTGAGCATTTGCTGTAAGTTGTGTCTAAATAAATTCAGTAACAATTTTTTTATTATTAAGACTAAATAATTAACACTATGATATGCATTACTAGTAAAAAATTACTTAAATGCATTTTAAAATAAACTTGACAGGTAGTTAATATTTCTTTAGTGAAGTTGTTTCTAGACTTTTCTAAGCGCAGTTATATATTCCATGCGGTCTTTCGAGTAAAATCAGCAAGCAAATTGGAGCTGATGCACTTATTTTCAAAAAGAATTAATGTTTATTTTTTAAAATAAAAATTAATTTGTTAGTTTGTTGTTGCTTATTTTTATTTTTTTTAATTTTTATAGTCTGTTTTTATTTTTTAGAAGAAGTTAGAACTAAAATGTTTGGTAAAATAGTTTTTTTAGTAAAATGTTTTTTTTTAGTAAACTGTTTCATTTTGTCGTTAGTCTTTTTAGAACATTTTAAGCAAGTATTGTTTTATCTTTTAGAGCAGTTAAGAAAAGATGATGGTTTTTTTAGTAAGTTCAATTCGTTTTGTTATTTATAGATGAAGATTGTTGTTTGCAAAAAGAATTATATATAAAATAAAGTTTTATATATGTATTTAATATGAAAAGTTAAATAAAATAAGACTGTTATTTGTGTTCATGTAAGCTTATATACATAAGTTTGCATTTATTTTAGTCTATTTTATTTTTCTCTATATCTATACTATATGTATATTTTCTCTTAGCAAAAGTTATTCAGAATAGAAGAATAAAAAAAGTTCTTCTGGAATTTGTCAAAAGAATGTTGTGTTATGCTTCATTTAAAGGTATCTAATTATGTATTAATTTTTCATTTTTTAGAAGAAGTTAGAACTAAATTGACTGGTAAAATAGTTTTATTAGTACAATGTTTCTTTTTTAAAAAAACTGTTTCAGTTTTGTCATTAGTCTTTTTAAAACATTTTAAGAAAGTATTTGCTTTATTTTTTAGGGCAGTTAAGACAAAATGATCGCTTTTTTATTAAGTTTACTTCATTTTCTCATACATAGGCTAAGATTTTTTTATATAGAAAGCATAATGAGAATAAAATTTTATTTATGTATTTAATATGAAAAGTTAAATAAAATAAGACTGTTATTTGTCGTCATGTAAGTTTATATACATAAGTTTGCGTTTATTTTAGTCTATTTTATATTTCTCTATATCTATATGTATATTTTCTCTAAGGAAAAATAATAAGGAATAGAAAAATTTAGAAAATTTGCTCTGGAATTCGTCAAAAGAGTGTTGTGTTATGCTTCATTTTATGGTATTTAAATATATATTCATTAGAAGTTTTTAATTTTTTTTTTAAATGGTTTATTCTTTTTCACTACTTTAGATAAACATATACTAACTGACATAACTTCATTTTTATTGACAATGTCGTGCATTGTAGTCTGCATTCTTTGTTACATTTAAAATAATTGATGCTAATAAATGTTGTTTTATAGATGTTAAAAGTTTACATATTTGTTTGCATGTATATTATGATCAAAGTTAAAATTTTTTTGATAAATATGTGTAAGTGGTGATACTACTCAGGTATCACCACAGCTTATCTCTATCAGGTACATTGATTTTCAATTCACATATGATGTTTTTCTTTGTATTTATTCGTTACATTTTTAACTTCAGATTTATGGTGTATTCATTTGCTATAGAAGAACAAATCATTTTGAATTTTTTAAAAATATCTACACCAATCAACAATTAAAGTTCAATGTTGCATATACCATTTTTAAGTAGCTTCTAGGCTTTTTTAATGCTTTTCTTATTCAAGTGGTTTTATAAGCAAAGTCTACAAGCAAATTTGAGATTAAAAGTTTTTCAGCTTTCAAGGAGTATCAATGTTGTTCTCTGTTTAATTTAATTTGTTTAAATAGAGTAGTTTTAGTAAATGTTTGTTTGTTCTTGGTTTTTTACTTATTTGTTTTCAGATTCTTAAGAACTAGGCAACTTAGCGAAACAAGATTTATTATATTTTTAAGTGCAATTTGAAAGAGCTAAAGTGCTTTTTAGTCACTTCAAATCATTTGTTTCTTTTTGTAAATAGAAGGGTTAATAATAAAAGTATTTAGACAGTCGAACTGTTACTGATTTGAGTAAGTTTAATGTTTTGTTTAATTTTATATTAGATATATATTTTATGTATTTAACATGAAAAACTGATTGTAATTTATGACAGGTAAGTTTATATACATAAATGTGCCTATATATCAGAATATTTTATATTTCTCTGAATCTATATGAATATTATCTCAAAGAAAAAATTAAGAACAGAAAAAATTTGAATATGTTTACATACATATATATTACTTTAGACTGACGTTGCTTCATTTTTTATACAAGATTCTGCATTTATTATTTCTTAATTTAGCAAAGAATATAGAACACAATGCAAATAGCTTTGCACTGTGTTCTAAATTCTTTGCTAAATTAATATAATGTCAAAAATTTTTTTTTTTAATATTTTTCAGTTGTAAAAATATAAAACGTTCATTTATTCAGTTGTAACAGTAGTATAATCACTGGTAATATATATTTAATGATAACAGATGTATAATATTAGGCTCAAGGAAGTTATTAGTGTAAATGGTTATAGGTGACTTGAAATTGTTGTCATATGAAAGAAATAGATCTAGACGTGATAAAATTAATTGTCGTTGAAATATAAGAAATTTTGATTGATGAACCAAAAACTTACTTGGCAGAATTCAGTGTCAAGCGGTGTTGATGTCTATTATTTGACTTTACATTAGACACTTTAAAATAAAGCAAAGTATGAATTTTACTATTTATAGTAACAAATAATAACAGTTTCAATTTTAAATGATTTTTTTTTTTTTTTTGCAATCTTAAACATAATTGTGTTCATTTTTTTTTAGTTGTCTTTGTCATCACTTGATTATTTTGCTTACTGTTGAAACATGGTTTTAATTTTGTAAATTTAATATGATGTGAAATTTACAATATTATTCATTTGTCAACAGTTAGAGAGAAGCTGGAAATTAATTAAGAAATGCTGGAAATTAACTTTTAGTTAAGGTAAAAATAGTTTTATTTATTGGTAGCATAATAAAACCAGTTACTGTTATTTATTGCATGACTTTTTTACTTTTTCTAACATGGTGTTTTTAAAACACTTCCTCTATCTCTTAGATGAGACTTAAATAAGAATTAGTTTTGAGAATTGTAGAGAGAGAATTGATTAAACTCTGTAATTACTGAGCTCTGATTAAACTCTGTAATTACTAAGCTCTTGCATATCTTTTAATACTGCAATTGATAATTTGCTATTCAAAGATATAATTCTTTAAATTATCCAACTATTGTAATAAATAA